TACTGAAGATGTTCAGGGCAAAAACTGCCTGACTAACTTCCATGGCATGGACCTCACCCGGGACAAAATGTGTTCCATGGTCAAAAAATGGCAGGCCATGATCGAAGCTCATGTTGATGTCAAGACTACCAATGGTTATTTGCTTCGACTGTTCTGTGTTGGCTTTACTAAAAAACGCAACAATCAGATATGGAAGACCTCTTATGCTCAGCACCAGCAGGTCTGCCAGATCCAGAAGAAGATGATGGAAATCATGACCCGGGAGGTGCAGACAAATGACTTGAAGGAAGAGGTCAATAAACTGATTCCGACAGTACTGGGAAAGACATAGAAAAGGCTTGCTAATCTATCTACCCTCTTCATGATGTCTTCGTCAGAAAAGTAAAAATGCTGCAAAAGCCCAAGTTTGAATTGGGAAAACTCATGGAGCCTCATGGTGAAGGTAGCAGCTCTGGAAAGGCTACTGGGGATGAGACTGGAGCTAAAGTTGAACGAGCTGATGGATGAGAACCATCAGTGCAAGAGTCCGTTTAAGATCCAGATTTTTAATAGTGATAAATAAAGTCCTATTTGTGAAAAAGAAGTACAAATAATGGGGCTGGAGATGTAGCGCAGTGATAGAATCTTTATGTAGCCTGAACAAGGCTCTGGGTTCAATCCACAGTACCACAAAAGTAATTAAATTAAATTAAAAATAAATGATTTTATGCCCTATATATATTACTAAATACCCTTCTTTTCCCTATACTAATATATCATGGACATCTTTGCACATCAGCAAATAGATCTGCTTCATTTTTGAATATAGTAAGTCCCCGTCATACAAACCAGTTCCCTTCCAGAACGTTCACAAATCTAGTTCATTCATAAGTCCAACGAAGTGAGTCTTGGACACCTTTGATGCAAATATACAGGGTGAAGCATAAAAAAGCAAACACACACACAAACATAGTAAGTAAATTATCTCTACTTTTAGGGTTACCTTAAAATGGTGTGGTACACATGAGAGCTGCTTCCACAATTCGTTCACATCTATAAATGTTCATAATCTGAGGCCTGTTTGTATCTGTGAAAGTTCAGAATTCAAATGTCCCTAAGTTGGGCTGGTGAGATGGCTTAGTGGTCTAAAGCACCTACTTAGAACAAGCTTAGCAAAGCACAGGGACCGCAGTTCAATCCCCCAGCACCACATACCAGCCAGCCCC